AAAAATGATCAACTCCAATCGATACTCATATTCAAACGCAAAGGGAGAAAAGTAGGATTTTTTTTTCTCCAACCAATTCCTATATCCAAACGCAAAATGAGTTTATCTGCATTTTTTCTCTCCTTCAAAATTTGCGTTTGCACTATTGATAAACACAACTCTTTTGTGAATTACAAAGGAGTACCTATATTTTACAGATTTTGTTCTTTTAACATATATTTATTTTGTGTCAATAATAAAAAGTTTATTTATATTTAATTATTTTGGCATGATGACATAAAAATTAATATATTTTTCTTTTATAACAATGTGTTTTTTATATATTTTTTGTTAGAATTTTATATATTAATTATTGATTTATTTGTTCGATAAATTTAACAATGAGGAGACATACCGACAAAAAAAATCGAAAGACATTAATATCATCAAATTAGTCGTAAAAACTGAAAGATAACATAGAACTAGAAATAAAAGTACATCATAAATTACGAAAAATAACACAAAAAAAATACATCGTAAATTGCGATTGGGTTTGTTGAGCACTCACTACAAATACCTCCACGTCTCTCAATATTTTGACCGAAATCTGCAAAAATTCTCACATTTCTATATGTTCTGACCTGAAAATGACCGCTCACACTGTCAGGACTCTCACGTTTCTTAATGTACCCGAAATGACCACTCTTCTGTAAAGATTTTCACACGTCTCCATGTTTTAACCTGAAAATGACCACTCACTGCAAAGACTCACGTCTCTCAATACTTTGATTCGAAATGACCATTTTCTGCAAAGTTTCTCACACCTCTCAAACGCACTACTGTAAAAACATGATATATCCTCATTATCCAAAAAATGCCAAATACTTCTCTATAATCTTCCAAAATAAATCTCTAACATTTTCTCCATCCAAAATAAATTCCATATCATACATTTTATCCGTCCATCATAAAATATATAACGTTGGTGGAGTATACGAAATTAATGGATCAAACCAAGTCCTTAAAGAGCTAATCACTAACACCTTGTATGTAATGCGAGTAAAATGCTGTTTTCCTTGAATATACTTTAGTGTTTCTAAATCTATACTGCCTTGCAATTGCAACAAATGCAGAAACATTCTGATAAACTCAAATGCAGATAATTTAAATTCCATATATTATGCATTTTGTATAATACTTTATTTTTGTCTTAAATGCAGATAATTTAAATTCCATATATGAATTTTGTATAGTACTTTATTTTTGTCTTAATTTATAATTTACTGTTAATACTTGTTAGGATCGTCCAGGCTGAAATGAAGCTGGAGAGGCACCGCGCCACCTATCATTTTCAGCAAATTACTCAGAGACTTAAATTCATCCTTACAGAAATTCAATCCATTTTGGGGCAAAAATACATCCAGAGTCTAATAAAAGATTCTGAAGAAACTAACATGGCTTGAACTGTAAAATCCCATTCCTTGAAAAATACAGTTATCACCAATAATCTAGGTCTATTACATGAGAGCAGTATCTGGAGTTCAGAGGCTGTCAAAAGCTGCTCGATGAACATAAAAGTCGAAAAAGTAGCTCAATCAAAATCAAAACCCAAACTACCCAACATCTCAAGTTAGCCGAGTCAAAAGCACTTAAAAGTATCAAATTCATTCCTACTCAGATCCTAACATTAGCCAACAACAGTTGCCGCTAACAGAAATGCAGCATCTCTTGTAAGAGTGTCCAAACCACGATTTTTCATTCAAGAAGTTTTTGAGCACTCGATCACATGGTCTTTGAACTTTTGAAGCTCGGCCAAGACTTCATCCTTTGGCCTATATAAGAGATCAGTCATGCGCCACATCTGCAAAAGGACCAAGATAAAAGCAAACATCATATTTTACCTATGGTAACTAACTGTCTGCTGAAAAAGAAGAAAAAAAAATAAAATAAAAAAATGTGGTGAGTGGAAAAACATCAAGTACCTGCAGGGTACCACCACCACCAACGCATTCTCCATCATCAGATACACTCACAATTGTCCATGGATCATACGCATTCCAGTGGAAATCAACAACCTTATCCCTGTAAACAAAAGCATAATTTTCTCAAAAACTAAAGCTTACAGTAACGTGTGTAAGCTAATTGGAAATATAAAAGGAGTTGAACTGAGAAATAAACCAGAAAGGGAAAAAAAATTGAAAATGGAGAGGAAATCCAAATTGCACTGTAGTATTTGGTCTTAGATCATACTTTGACCAGAAATTCTAGCTTAACTTCATTTTTGTCCCAAATTATTGTAAACATTATAAATGTTAGGGGAAGGTTCCCTTTACATGTGATGCTTTCCCATTGTCCTACTAGCCTACATTTTTGCGCAAGGTAAGTTGTTGGCTGAAAACTTCATTTGGCAATCATGTATGTCATATAATTTATATAAAAGTTCAATACTGCACAACAATGCAAAAAGTACTTGGAAAAGTTCGATTTAATTTTTGCTCAAGACTTGAAGAAGCATATCCACCTATGTCCAGCATGCTGGAAAAACAACCCTGCTGGAGTAGTAGGATTGTTGGAACCGGTTTCTTCCTTCTGACCAACCTATAGCAAGACAAATAGCATATGTCAAAATCTCGTGGAACAAAAATCAATCTCTTTTAAAAATCTAACATAAAGGAGGAGCTTCTCGCTATTCATACTTCACTTGCATTAGTTATTTATAAACATTATATTCCCATCTGAATATCCCATATACATATACTCCACAAAGATTGAGACTTCAGGTAAAAAGCAGAAGCATCACTCACCTTCTCATAGTCCCATATATTCAACAGACCATCTTCCGCTGAACTCCCGAACACAGAACTCTTGTCAGGTGACCACTGAGATTCAGGTAGATTTAGTGCACCATGAATATGTAAAGATAAAAATATAGTGGATATGGTTTTCTACAAGGATAAAACAGATTATATAACAAGAAATGCTACCTGGACACAAAGAACAGCATCTTTATGACCTTGAAATTTGTGGACAGGCAGCCCAACTCTATCAGAGGTTAGATTGCGTCGATCGAACATGTGCACTGTATGATCCGCAGACCTGAAATTTGCCGAACACCAGAAACATTGATGAGCTCAAATTGCAAAAACATTGATTAGAATGTAAGGCCTCACAAGTTTAACTATCACCACAAAGATACCAGGATCAACTTACCCAGTTAATATATAATTTTCATCATGAGGGTTCCAATCTACGCAATGAAGATCGGCATTGTGCGCCTTCTCAACCTAAAATCCATGCGAAAACTCAGATGATTGGAAAGAACTGGTCCAACAATAGAGATTCCTATGCATGAGAGAATTTCAGAGTAGAACTAAGAGCTGAATAAAATTCAGCAAAACAACACACATATCCTTTGATTAGCAGAGCATTTGTTTTATACGCCTTAGCATGTTACAATAAGATCAAAGGCCTATAAGATCGTGGTCACACTTGGATTTCACTAGCAACAGCAAAATCAAAATGCACTAAGAGAAAAAATTGTGAGCAAGTGTTGCACTTGTACAATTAGCTCGAACAGAAAAATGAAGATATACTGCTAAAAAACCCATGCTCAAAATAAATTTCCAATTTAATTATGTAAAATTTGTGAGAGTACAGCATATGCTATGATAAGCAATGTAAGAACATAGAAATTAATATAGTACGTACATCGAAGCTATGGACTGTATCTGGAGCCGCCAAACAACTAAGTTAATAAAACTACAACTTGCATACCAAGAACACCATAAAATCACTCAAATAAATTTTAATGGGAACCATTAATTACACTGAAGACCATCCACACCAGTATAGGTCAGGTACGTTTACGGATTTCTTGTGAATTTAACTATAAACTGATCAGACCCACTTCCCAGCAATGTGCACTTGAATTAAGACTCCATTGGTCTGAGCCTCTGAGGGAAAGTAAAAAATACATGTATCGAGAAATCAAGAGTTCACCTATACCTTGACAACCGGATTGCTTCCTATTCGTGCATCCCACAGAATCAAACAAGAATCGTCTCCAACACTACAAAACTGCTGTGAACTGCACCAGTGCAACAAATTTTAAGATTGGCAAGGACACATCTAAAAGCAATAAATAACATATATGCTAGGAAATAGAAGCAAATTAAACAAACACGAAGTCAGCAAAATTAATTAGAATACATATGAAGCAAGATAGATTAGATACCAAGAAAAGAAAAACTATAAAGACTGCCCTGAAACATGACTTGATAAGCAATAAGTAACATATTACACTAAAGAATTTATATAAATGCTGGCAGACTCATCCAGTCATCCTATAGATCAATGAGTAATAGTAACCTCGATGGGCAAAATTGCACATCCTCAACAGTATCATCATGTCCTTGAAAAACCCCACGTGGACCAACAGTAGAATTATCAGCAGCTTTCACTATAGAACCAGTAGATTCTGAAGTTTGGGTTGCATCCGAAGCCAGTGTTGACACATGATCCTGAATACTCCACAAGACGACAGATTTATCCTTCCCTGCAGAAAAACAATCATCATAAGCTTTACTAAATACAAAGGCAACATTCAAACATATGCAGGAGTCAGGGAAGATAAGTATATATACGCACACATTTATACATTGATTATGATTTTTATATAAACACAATCATGTAACCGAGTAAGAAAACACATGAATCACACAAGTTTCAAACCTCCTGAAAGCACATAAGGTTCAGCTGGGCACATTGCAAGAGCATATTCTGCATTATCTTGGTGTCCAGATAAAACCTGGTAAACATGAGTAATATCTATTAAACTCGTGAAATTCACCAAGCACTAAAATATAGAGAACCTTCTCCACTTCCATAGTAAAAGAGTTTCAGTTTCATTTTTCTACTTTAAAATAAAGTTCTTACAGAAGGAGGGTGAGATAAGAACAAAAACCAAATGAAAGTACAACTCATGGTAAACCCACTTAGATGCTTCCCACCACTTCAAGCATCATAGCTGACTGGCAATTCATTAGCCACTTCTGTGGTCAAGAGATGAATAAGAGGCAGGAGTCATAAAGAAAGCCTACAGAAGCTTGAGAAACTCGTACTATTTCTTTCTGTATAAGTTTCATCTGGGATATTACTGAGACTAAGTTAATCGTAGAAAGAGGAGCTCAAGCTGCAATTATGTGCTATGCATCTGAACTCAACAAGATTATTGCTTAATGCAAGCTGCAAGAGACATTTCATCAAGTTCATTCTACGATTCATCAATTATGTGATTCCCCTAATGATTAATAAAATATTAAAGATCTTACTATTTTCAGGTTTGAGCAATTTAGAGAAAAAGGCACACATAGATACAACTGTTTGCAGCTGCCAGCCAACACTCTCTCTAAAAGCTGCACATTACTACTTACGAGCCAAATAATCAATTAATAACAAAATCAAAGAAACGAAATAACAAAATACACTTAGATGAAATCTATTCAAAGAAATGCACCAGATCAGGACGAGAATCTTCAGCTCCAAGAACAGCATGTCGATTAGGTTGGGATTCCACGTCCCATATAAGAACCTAATATGACAGAAAGCAAACAAAATTAAACATAATATTTTTAAGTGAATTATGTAATAAACCAGACTACAGGAAATACAATCAAATGGTCAATCGCTTACTTCAGGACAGTCGGTGTGTGTGGCCACAATATTCTTATTCTGTGGCAGTTCTCTGATTCTGTTCACCTACAATGATATGAAATTATGAAGAAACTCTACAGAATGCGATCATGACAGCAGTAGCAAGCTCAAGGGCAATAAGAGAAATTATAACGAAAAGAGGTAAAAATGCAAAGCTATGCACAAATAAAATGTTTTCTTAAGAGTTGTACAAAACGTTTGGAAGCAATTAGAGAAATACTTTTATAAATGAGAGTCAGACAAAAAGCACTATCATCAACATCACTTCCACTTCGGTAATCCTTCTGACACCGTGAAGCCACAGAAATTACAGAATCACTGAGTGTTGTAGTATAATATTTTCCATTTGTTTTAAGGCACATTTGTTTTTCGATATACAACTTATCATCCAAACATCAATCTGTTGTATTTTGTGTGCTAATCCATGGGAGAACAATAAATAATGGAGGACAAACAATTTGAAACACAAACACATGTGTCCCTAAGTTAGCAATTGGCAAGTAGCATTACAAAAATGAGTGCTGCTGCTAGCTCATTCAGTATAATTCACTTTACAGAAGCAAACAAACTGAACAACAAACTCAAAACATTAAATAATGAGAATTTATGATCAATTCTTCTATATGGCAGCTTTAATTCATTATAATGAAGATGTGAAATGCGTGTACGTATTCAAATATTTACAGGATATATTTCTTACCTCTCCTGGATGTAAGATAGTTTTGTACTTCTTGACAAATGGTGAGCGAGCATCCTCATTGAACTGATAAAATATAAAACTAGATTAGGTTCAACAAAATTACTGTTTCTGGAACATCGAATATAGAACAAGAAAATATACATTAGCTATGTGGCTTTCTGCAGCAACTCGTGGTTTCACAACCTCACAATTTGCTATAATCNAAGAAGAAAAAAGCATAGGCAAAGAGGTTAGAGGCAGTCTAAATTACACAGCACAATAAGAACTCCCCGGAATTACACATGAACACCAGAAATCTATAAGATATGATATAAATCCATAAATAAACAAAGCAAATGAAACCACACAAAATCACACAGAAGAAGATGCAGGTGCCCTTGTACATTGCAAATATAACCAAGGGGATTTCTATGGCTTTTAGAAACCATCAAGCATACAAATTCAGTTTTAAATCACTCCAACAGAGAGGACAAAAAAGATGAAAACAAAAGAAAATCCTGTACGGTTAGATTACGAGATGCAGAAGTATAATTTTACTAATTGCAGCAGTAAAAATTGAGAATGTAACCATAAGAAACACAGCAGCCCTGCATACTGCTTCAATAATTCTTACAAAGGAACATTTTCACAGCCTACAAGCTTTCTAACATATATTATAGAGTACAAGACGTCCACTGGAGTGGTGGAAGCAAAGGACAAAGCCCAATGCTTTTAGACTACCATAATAAAGATCAAACAGAAACGAAAGGCCTGCAATCTCATAAAGAAGGCATTCAAATGCCAAAGGGTGAACTGTTAAGCTTTGTACAATATATATAGTCACTAAGACATTGAAAACAGAATCGGATTAGCTCGGTGTTAGTTCTTAGACGATAAGTTTAAATGGAAAATGAGTTGCATGAGAAAACTAATACAAACAAAAACGTGTGATAATTTACTCAAAGCACAAGTGCACTAAGCAAGTATTACCAAAGAACACAAAACAAAAATATAAAATCATGAATAGCATAAAAAAATCTACCTGCTCAGAAAGGTAAAGACGCTGCTTGTTCTTGTAAGTTCCTTTGTCAAGAATCGGTCCCCAACTATAACCACAAAATACAACCATAATAGATACAAGTACACAGGGCAATAATTGAAGTAGCCCAACAGTTCTCCAAAATATTATAGGAAGTACAATAATCTACCAAAGACCATTCTAATGCAAAGCAAAATTATTTCTACAGCATTATTCAAATCACTATACAGCAGCCATAAAGATACAAATGACCACAAGTTGCAAGACTGAAACACAAACAAAATAAGTAAATCACAAATTCTAGTGTGAGTCAGCCTAACCATTAGGCGGGGTAAAGTACTACAACTTAAAATGAAAGTACTAATATTTTTAGAGTATGTTAGGCTTAACATAAGAACTGGCAATGGAGTAATAAAAGAAGAATAAATCACAAAATCATAAATATATATATAATTAAAAAAAAAAAAAAAAAAAAANAAAAAAAAAAAAAAAAAAAAATGACACTCAGCTCTAATGTAACTCCCCAAGTGACAAGACAGCTGTACATACATTTCCGTAGATTTTTCACTGCCACACCAAATGTAACAGACCTAAAATTTCGTGTATTTCCTCTGAGCTTAAACTACGCCATCCTCGAACTCACATAGAAACCCTAACAAAACCCACACAGAAAAGGGAAAACGGAAAAACGGAGAAAGCGACAGAGCTGTACCGGCAAGAAAGAGACGGCCAGACTAGATTGTGAGAAGCTATCCAGTCATAAAGCACGGGAACCAGTAGTTTCCAGTGCGCGTAGCTCTCGTCCGCGGCGGTGTTCCTCTTCTCGCCGCCGGAACCTCTCATTCTCGAAGGCACTCCTCCGCCGCTGGATTCTTTGTCCTTGTCGGATCTCGACTTGGAGGTCGTCGATCCCTTCGGCCTCCCGCGCCTTCTCGGCTCGGTAGGTGGTGGGGTCGTCTCCATTTTCGTCTCCCTTTTGGTTTGCTGTACTGTGCTCCCCCTTTTCCCCCTCTTTTTCACTTTCGAGTTTGTTTTAATTTTTTTGTGAGCTGGTGGATTTTTGACGGAGCAGATGAGTTAGACGATGACGGCATCAAAGCCCTGTTTGGCAGTGAATTATTTCGTCAATATATTTATTTGCATCTGTATTTGTATATAGAGGAGTTTGACATAGCACGACATATTTGACAAGTGAGTCGAGCTTGAGTTTGAGTTAGTGTAAAAACTTATTTTGTTGATGAATCGAGTCCGTCTCGTCTCTGATCGTTAGTTTTGATATATATTGAGTCTTTCACGTAACTATAGTGAATTGTTACTAAGTTGTGTCAAGTTTTTTTGGCGTGGTCGAACTGATACATAACTTAGTCACTTGGGACCAACCAAGTTGTGTCGTTTTTTGACTATTTTAAATGCCACCTAAAAGTAATTCAATCAACCTGGAGAGTATCCTAATTCAATCACCCGATTGATCCGAAGAAATTTCCTTATTGTCTTTAAATATATTTAAGTTTTTGAAAATAAAAATATTTTATGATTCATATAATAAATGTCTACACCAAATGATAGTATATTAAGATTATAAATTATATATCTAAAGATGAATTAATTATTTTTACTTATGCATGTTAATAAAAAATAAACATAGTAATTTTTAAAAAATTAAGATTAATTGATTGATTATGCAATTTAAAGAATATTTTTAGTGTTCAATATTTTTTTAAAGGCACAAATATAAAGACCGAGATTCTAAGAGTTTTGTTATTTTGAAATGAGATTTTATAAATATAGAGACCGAGATTTTAATATTGTTCGTTGTTTCTAAGAAAAAAATAAAAATAAAATCATACACACTTAATAAATCTTAGCCGAATTTTTTAAATAATAAAATGAACTAACTCCCAAAATTTAAGGTAACATTTAATGTTGTATGATTTTTAAAGAAAAAAATAAGAAAAATAATAAAACTTACTATTTATAGGTTGTATTAAATTCTGACCTATTTTTTTTGCTACTATTTTTGATAAATGATAATTCTTATTATATATATATAGATTTGCGTCAAATTTGGTATATATTTCTAGACATGGTCGACTTGACATATTAAAAATATTTTTTTTGCAAACAAACTTTGGATCATCAAATTTTAAAAGTTTCATTTCCCAAGTTCCTTCCATTTTATTAAATTCTGGTTTGTTTGTTTGAAGTTTTTTTTTTTTTTAATTTATTAGTCAAAACACGTATATACATAATAGATGATGAGAAATGCTATAAGTACATAGATGTACATAACAATCATAATATATGGGTCCTACCAAAAATAAAAAATCAAATAAACTCCACTCCATTTGAGTGTTGTGTACATTTATTATATACTTGTAGCATTTTTTATAGATAATAGTAAATTAGTCGAATAAATCAACGGATAATTACTATTAAATCCCCAATACACATTTCAACTTCCTTGTCAATCCCCACCAGTTTTAAACTTCTTCTCCACTCCATAAAGCTAAGACCATCTCCAGCCCTTATCTCTACTCTAGTGCGGACTTTACTCTACTCTAGAGTAGAGTTGAACATTCATCTCCAACCCTTCTCTACATTTTACTCTACATTAAATATATTATTTTTTTATTCATTTTAAAAATGAATTGTAATAAATTGAATTTCTTAAAGAAGATACATATACATCTATGTACCGATTCAAAACTGTTACTTTTGAAAATATATGAATTTAGTGCAAATTTACACACTAGACCATATATGAATTAGTGCAAATTTACACACTAGACCATATATGGTTTAGACCATATATGAATTAGTGCAAATTTACACACTAGACCATATATAATTTAGAGCATAAAAAAACAAAAAATTATTTATAGTCATATTATTTGTCAAACTATTTATCACATATTAATATATTACACATTTTGCTCTATCATAAATAATTTTTCAGTATTTTTAAAGTATGTTTATTATAGAGTATTTTTATAAGTTGTATTTTAAATTTGATAAAATATATTTTTATATAATTTAATTTATTTTAAAAAATATTGAAATATTTTTTTATAAAATTAGATTAACATATGAAAAAATAAAGATAAAAAAAAACCTGCAATAAACCACTTAAAAAAATAAAAAAGATTATAGCGCAGCTACAGTTCATCATCTAGAGATGTACTATTCATATATTTCATCTAGCGCAAAAAATGTGAAGATGCACTGGAGAGGTAAACTCAACACAACTCCAGCGATAAATATGGATATGGAGCAGCATTGGAGAGGCTCTAATTTCTCTTTCCAAATCACTTCCCATATATATAAACTACTCTTATTATTATTATTCTTTTATTTTATCTTATTTTTATAAAAAAAATTGAATTGAATCTGCTTCTCTCTTTCGTTCTCGCCATTTCTCTCTCTCAAAATTCAAAATTCATCGCCGCTCTCTCTCCAAATCAATTTTCTTTCTCCAGAAAAATCACCATCTCTAATCATCCCCAAATCGTTTTTCTTTCTCCGGAAAAATCACCATCTCCAGTCGTCTACTACTCAAGATAATCCCCAAATCGATTTACTGAAGATCGGACGTAGCGACCGAGGGTTTTCAGATTATCCATGACTTTTTCAGGCATGTGTCGGTGGAGGGAGAGGTCTGCCACGGACTGCGCGATGGCGCTACGGTGAACGGTGAGCTTCTATGCGGATTTTTTTTTTCCTTTTTCAACCTAAATCTTCGATTGGATTTTTTAGGCTCAATCAAAGAAGATATGCTCCCAAATTGGTTTGTGCACATTTGATGGAACTCGTGGTGTTAGCTTAGTTTACAAAAATAAAAATCACAAAAAAAAAAAGCATATCTGCCTCTTTTAAAATGCAAAGGTGATTATTTGGCTTCTTTGTAGTGCGGGGATTCGTAGCGTTGTGAACAAGAAAGAGGACAGCTCGTCCGGATTAGGTGATGCCATGTGCTCTGCATGTGAGATGGCCGTTATCGTTGACAGGCTGGTCGAGAGTGCATAGGTGGGTCGGGTTGGGCTGCTCCTCCTCTGTGTCGTTGTCTTCGCTGGGGTGGGCCGGGTTGGAGGCCGGCCCGGACTGGCTCTTGGCGCTGATGTTCTTCTTGTTGGGCCCGGGGGTTCGGGCCTTGCGGGTGAAGCCCCGGTGCCACGCGGGGTCGTCCGATGAGGTCTTGAGGCGGACTCGGTTGTGGCAGCGGGCCAGGGGATTGGCAGAGTGGACGGAGAGGTCGCACGCTTGGCAGAGGAAGGCATCATCTGTCCCGCAGTAACACGCGGGGTTGTGGCGGCTGGCCAAGGGGCTCGGTAATTCTTCTATACGCGTTTGTACTGTTATTATATTGAGTTGGTTCTTATCTGGTTCTTGCATTGAAGTAGTTTCTTCACTTCACATGATGCTATCTGCTCTTTTGCTTTCATAGTTTTCATGTTGATCTTTTACTTTCAGTTATTATTCCCCCTCCCCGCCTATTCTTGTTTTTTGATTTGTTATTCTTGTTGGCAGTCCATGTCATACTTGTGGTTTGCAAGTGAATAAAAACTATTTGGAGGTCAAGAGCTGTTAAAAGATGGCTTGTTTTCATACTGCCATTTTTTTGCTGTGTTTTCTTGAGTATCAACTGATTGAGGTGAATTTCCTACTTTATAGGCTCAACTCATCAAGGGAAACATGTAATTTTCTCTGTGCTATGTGGGAAAGTTCCTGAGTATTAGGTTGTTTGAGGTGGCATTGCTGTGAACAAGAACCTTGGTTCTACTTGCATGAAATGGCAGGTTTTCATTCCAAGCTGCTCTGATCAGACTGAGGTATTGTTGAGAGGTGTGCACCATGCCTTATGGACAGTTTTTGTAAAAGACTGGAGGGCGATTGCTGTGTTCTTAGATGATGAAGCTATTTCAACTCAACTGAAAGCTTCTATTCCATTTGAAGGTCCGAAGAAAGATTTAGCTGAAGGCATCTTCTTATTGGCAGGTTTATCAGACTCATGTGACTTTCAATTCCATTGTACTGATTCTGAGTTGGATGCTTACTCTTTAGCTTTAGAGGCGGTTATTGATAGTTCTAGCCATGAATGGTTGTGTTAATGCTTAGCTATAAGTCTGCTTGTGGCTTTGTTGTTAGTGATCAGTGAATCGCCTTTTGTAAGACTTTGTCTTCGCCGAGTGAATGTTATCTAACGTTTGAAAAAAAAAATACAGAGTAGGGGGGATTTGCTGGATTAATGTGCTTGTGATTTCAATTTTGCAATCAAATGAGAACTTTTGTACTTGTTAACCTTGCATTCTCTTTTTGTTCAATTAATTTGGTTCCTTACTGCAGCTTGCAAAAATAAAAAAAATAAAAAAAAATAAAAAAAAAATAAAAAGAAAAAAAAAACTCACACATTAGTTTTAGTTTTAGTACTCAATATCGAGTCTTTAGTACTAACTCCAACGAACATAAAAAAACACTAAATTTAGATCTTAAATGATGTTTATATTACTCAAAATCACTCACACATTAGTTTCTATGAAATTTTGAATGTGTTTAATTAAGTTTCCTCGCCAAGTGGTCATGATTAGTAAAATGTACCAGATTTACAACAAATAGCACCAATTGTTCTTCTAGGCATTACCTGTATTTTATCAATTAGTACCTACTTTGGCCAACGAAAAATGGATTACTTCAAATTTGTCAACATTTGCGAAATTAGTACCAACTCTAGAGTTAGATAGTACTCACTAAATAGTTTTTTTAGTACCAGATATAGGGTCTTCAGTACCAACTCCGACGAATAAAAAAAAGATGAATTTCGTAAAATGGTACCCGTTTTTCCACAAATAGTACCACTTCTTCTTCTATGCAGTACCAGTTATTGATGAATTAGTACCTACTTTATAGAAAGAACAAAAAACAGATTACTTCAAATTCGGTCAACATTTGCAAAATTGGTACCAAACCTAAAGTAAGATAGTACCGCAAATATGGTGTTTTAGTACCAGATATCGGGTCTTCAGTAACAATTCCGACGAACATAAAAAAAACATCGAATTTCGGTCTCAAATGATGTTTACATTATCAATAAGCACTCTCACTTTACTTTCAATAGATTTAAAATGTGTTTAATTAAGTTTCATCGCAAATTAGTCACAAGCTCAACACATTAATGAAAAAACGCTACTAATACACTTCATCTCATTAGAAGACACACTTCATCTCATTGAATGATCATACATGACTACTCCAGATTCTACCTATATGTTTTACTTCCACTATTTCTCAACCAAATCACGCGTGAACTATCCACGTGGCATGGTAGACATGGAAGATTAAAGAAATCACGATTACTAAAACGGTACCAGTTTTGACAGAAATAGTACCGCTTATTCTTCTGCGTAATACCTTTTTTTAATCAATTAGTACCTACTTTTTGTCAACGAAAATGGATCACTTCAATTTTTTCCAACATTTGCAAAAATTAGTACCAGACCTAGACTAAAATAGTACTAGCTTTTGGGATTTAGTACCAGATATCGGGTCTTTTGTACCAACTCCGACGAAGATAAAAAAAATACGGAATTTCAGTCTCAAATAATGTTTATATGACCCATAATCACTCTCACATTAGTTTCTATGAGATTTAAAATGTTTTTAATTGAGTTTAATAGCAAATTGGTCATGAATTCGACACACTAATGAGAAAACACTACTAATACACTTCATTTTATTGAATGACACATTTCATCTCATAGAATCATCATACATGACTACTCCATATTCTACCTATATGTTTTACCTTCCACTATTTCTCATCCAAATCATGCGTGAACGATCCACGTGTAGACATGAAAGATTAGAGAAATCACGATTCTTAAAATTGTACTTATTTTAGCCAAAATAGTACCGCAATTCTTCTACGTGGTACCTGTTTTTGATTGATTAGTACCTACTTTTGTGAACGAAAATGGATTACTTAAATTTTGGTCAAAATTTACAAAACGTAGTACCATACATATAGTAAGATAATACCCGTTTTATATTGTTGTAGTACCCGATATTTGGTCTTTAGTACCACTTGTAATCAACACATAAAAACACCGAAGTTCGGTCTCAAATGATGTTTATATGACCCATAATCACTCTCACATTGGTTTATATAAGATTTAAAATGTTTTTAATTGAGTTTAATCATAAAATGGTCATGAACTCGACACACTAATGAGAAAACACTACTAATACACATCATTTCATTGAATGACACACTTCATCTCATAGAATCATCATACATGACTACTCCAAATTCTACCTATATGTTTTAACTTCCACTATTTTTCATCTAAATCACGCGTGAATGATCCACGTGTCATGGTAGACATGAAGGATTAGAGAAATCACAATTCCTAAAATAGTACATGTTTTACCCAAAATAGAACCGCATCTTCTTTTACGTGGTACCTGTTTTTTATCGATTAGTACCTACTTTTGTAAAGGAAAATGGATTATTTCAATTTTGGTCAATATTTACAAGAAGTAGTACCAGACCTAAAGTAAGATAGTACCGGTTTTATATTGTTGTAGTACCTGATATTGAGTCTTTCGTACCACTCGTAATGAACACATAAAAACACTGAATTTCGGTCGCAAATGACGTTTATATGATCCATAATCACTCTCACATTAGTTTAAATGAGATTTAAAATGTTTTTAATTGAGTTTAATCGCAAATTGGTCATGAACTCAACACACTAATGAGAAAACACTACTACTACACTTCATTTCATTGAATGACACACTTCATCTCATAGAATCATCATACATGACTACTCCAAATTCTAACTATATGTTTTAACTTTTACTTTTTTTAATCCAAATCATGCGTGAACGATCCACGTGTCATAGTAGACATGAAAGATTAGAAATCACAATTCTGAAAATAGTACATGTTTTAGCAAAAATAGTACAACATCTTCTTCTACGTGGTACCTGTTTTTGATCGATTAGTACCTACTTTTGTGAAGGAAAATGGATTATTTCAATTTTGTCAACATTTACAAAAAGTAGTACCAGAAATAGAGTAAAATAGTATCAGTTTTATATTGTTGTAGTACCTGATATTGGGTCTTCAGTACCACTTGTAATGAACACAATAAAACACCGAATTTTGGTCTCAAGTGATGTTTATATGACCCATTATCAGTCTCACATTAGTTTCTATGAGATTTAAAATGTGTTTAATTAAATTTAATCGCAAATTGGTCACGAACTCAACACGCTAACGAAAAAAACACTACTAATACACTTCATCTTATTGAATGATCATACATGACAACTTCAAATTCTACCTATATATTTTAACTTCCACTATTTCTCAACCAAATCACGCGTGTACGATCCACGTGGCATGGTAGACCTGTAGGATTAAAGAAATCACGATTAATAAAACGGTACCAGTTTTGACAGAAATAGTACCGCTTCGTCTTCTGCGTAGTACCTGTTTTTAATCAATTAGTACCTACTTTTGGTCAACAAAAATGGATAGACTTCATCTCATTTAATGAACTCAACACTAATGAACAAACACTACTAATACACTTCATCTCATCAAACACACATAACTAGTCTAAATTCCATCTATATTTTTTAAGCTCATCTAGTTTTCAACAAACTCATGCGTGAATGGTCTACGTGACATGGTAGACGAGACAGATTAATAAAATCACGGTCAGTAAAATGGTACCTTTTTTCCTAGAAATAGTACAAATAATGTTTGTATTCAATAACTTTAATTCTGGTCAATGTTTGTAAAAGTATTACCACTCTTAGTGTTAGCAGTACCCATTAAATAAGTGTTTAATACCCGATATCGCGTCTTCAGTACTAATTCCAACGAACATAATAAAATATTGAATTTCGATCTTAAATGATGTTTATATTACTTAAAATAACTTATACATTAGTTTCTATGAGTATTTGAATATGTTTAATTAAGTTTCCTCGACAAGTGGTCATTGACTCAATAGAACTTTAATTTTGAAATTTTATTTTTAGGTAATTTTCATTTTATGGAAACAAATTTGTCTTTTAATTTCAATATAAATAAAGATCATCCCTTAATATATCCACAACCGCAACATTCCATATTTATTGCAATTAAAATCAGTTAGGCGAAACATTCTATATATGAAACTGATAAACATGATGTATCACGCATTAAACTGAGAAACTGATCGATTAGTACTAACTTTTGTGAAGAAAAATTGATTATTTCAATTCTCCCCAACATTTACAAAAAGTAGTACCAGTCATAGTGTAATGCAGTACCACTTTATGGCGATAGTACCAGATATCATGTCCCTAGTACCACTTGTAATTAACACATAAGAAGACCGAATTTCGGTCGCAAATGATGTTAATACGACCCATAATTACTCTCACATTAGTTTCTATGATATTTGATATTTGGTTAATTAAGTTTAATCGCAAATTGGTCACGAACTCAACACACTAATGGAAAAACACTACTTAATACACTTCAACTCATTGACTGGTACCAGTTTTGACGGATATAATATTGTTTTTTCTTCTACGAAATACTTGTTATTGATCAATTAGTACCAGCTTTCTGGAATGAAAATGTAATACACCGATTAAAACTTCACAAAACTATTATATATATTGCAGTATAAAATGCCAGTATATTGTACAAAAAATATCTCATAAAGTGTCATTTACTCCCACTCTTTGAAATGAAAATAAGTACACAAGTATGGACCAGATTGCATTTCCAGATGGCAAATTGCTGATCCTCTTTGTATAACGATGCATATACTCTCCATTCACAATCCGCATCGCTACAACAAACGATGACCTTCTGCTTGTCATTTTTTCGATACTTAAATGACCGCTTGTTTGCAATCGCATAGTTTTTTAGACTCTTTCGAAATTCGCCGGCCCCACTGAATATTTGCCCCCCTCCTTTGATGCAAGATCTCCAAGAATCGATCGATTTATCTTGCAACAACTCATCTTCGCCCTCCGAGAAATTATTAGACTGTACGTTTTCCCTGCGTTCATGACAAAATAATACAAAGATTTATAAATAATGGAACTAGTTAAAAAATTAATGAATTGGGATATGATACGACTATACCATATCTCAATATTAAATTCATTAATATTATGAAAGTAACATTACTTGTTCATGTTCATCGGGAAAGATTGAACTCCATCATCCGGTCTTTCATTTCTTTCCATGGCAATTATCTCTATAATATTTAATTTCCAACAAACATGTAATCGAATCCTCATCATCCAACAAACTAACTCTCTTTTTTTCCTTTGGCGCAATATAGC